AAAAAAAAAAAAAAAAAAAAAAAAAAAAAAAAAAAAAAAAAAAAAAAAAAAAAAGTATGAACACGCCAGGGGTCTGACTCCCAATTTCACTGGTCTCAGCGAGCGACTACGTTTTTTTTTCGACATTACGTCGTAGCAGCTCAAGCCAAGGCCTCCTCTACCCATGGGTAGGTCCTCGGGTAGGTCAGAGCTAGTGTGCACACAACTCTGACGACTGAAAAGCTAATTCGGCTATATATACTAACCAAGTACTTTTTTCGCCACTCACGGGAACGGCACCGGAGCCACGCGGTTGGAGACGGAATTACAATAGCAGTGTTGTCTATCCATTGTCGATAACCAATTAATAATAGTATGGTAGGCGACCGGTAACCGCTAATAGAACGCTGTAGTATACCTATATGTGGCAAAAGGCAATACATATTTATATAAACTATAAACTCACCAATGAGACCGAACATCGACGGCCAATTAAGTCGTGTTTTAAAAAAGCGACGTATCACTTTTTTGAGGGAGTTCGAGAGTGCGTCTTCCCCGTTGCTGAGAGGCAAAACGAGGTCCTATTTTCGTCCGCATGATCTCGGTTAATTTTCATTCGAAAACATTGTTCCTCCAATCATTTTCAAGGGGATTCACTTAATCTCCTAATTTCTAATCAGGTAAGTCTGTAATGATTATCAGTACACGAAACTAACTTTACGTTATAAATTCAGGAATGGTATTTTTCGAAATCAAACGAAAAATAATTGAAAGCATTAGATAAAAAAAATTTCAATCTACTTTCACGTTTCATTCAAAGTATTTTGCAATAATAATCGAACCACAAAAAATAGATTAATCAACAGTTAATTTTTATGTATCGTATTTTTGATAACAATTAAGTAATCAACTTCTCGAATACAAAATTTCAAGTCATGTCAAGCTTTCGTCACTCAATGCCTTTCATGATTTCCAATATCAAAGATTAACAACATGTGTTATTTCAGAATCACACTGGACGAGACATTAGTTTAATTTTTCAGATTACCCGGATGTTTCTCATAGATATATTTTTTATAAGCATTACTCTTTCGTTGATTCACCTTATTGCAATCGACTTGAATTAGAATTGTGTTGCTAATAACTCAGTATTAAAAAGTTGTTGCTTAGAACATTTTGTAATTGCGATCTTTGAAAGGGATTTTACTTTCTTTATTTGCCAACCTAACGAGCCTTGGCGACTCCAAGTCGGATCATCTTGTAATTCGTCTCATTTTGTCACACGCATTTATTGAGAATTTTTTATACAATCCGAATATTATCCTAAAAAGATCGATTGCTTACTCTTTGAAACACGTCTTCGTCAATTAATAATAGTGATAATAATAACCCATAGCTAAATGCTTGGAGTTATAATCTAAGCATTAACTAGTTATGTCGGTATGGTAACACTAAAATAAATGGGTTCAGGTGTTCAAAGAACTTTAGAAAAACTTGATTATCATCTNGAAATGTGACAGTCAAAACTCGTACTCGATCGCAATATCTAAGGACTCGATCGAACTCGGTGATGTATTCCGAACCCCTCTGGTGATGTGTTCCGCAATCACACCGGTAGAAAGCAGACGACGTCGGTCTACTTGTTTTTTTTTTTTTTTTTTTTTTTTTCGTAGGTAGCAGTAAATTTTTTTACACTTACCAAAATTTGGAGAGCCTACCAGAGTGAATGAAGGCTTTTGTTGGCCCGGCATCGAATACCAAAGACCTTTGGCGTGGTACGTCCAACCAGGCCTTGAAAATTCCCACAATTTGATTCTGTCGCTTTGTCCTCTTTTTTCACAAAATTCAAAAAATGATTTTTCAATTTTCGTATAAGCTGCCGGTATTCCGCCTGCGATACCTCTGGCCCCTAATTACCGTTAAAAAAACATGTGATTTATCAATTCATATTCAATGGTATTTCATAACTTACCGAAAAATCCATTTGCCCTGGGATGAGCCGTTAACACGTGACAATTTGCTCTACACGAATTCACCAATGCGTTTCGATATTCAGAAGTTAAATTAAAATATCCCGTCGCTAGTTTCAACGTGGCTCCTACAGGAGCAGTTTCGAAAAGCCTCAACGTTATTTCACTGTCATGCCTCACTTTTAACTGAGCCATCTGTATCAATGGAAACACCCATGTATCTGCTTTCGTAGGTTCTGAACAAATACACACTGTGTCAAGATTTTTGTCATTTCTAGAATAAATTTTTTTTTAATACCTTTTTTGCATAAATCAAACCTCCTGTCTATTTGATTCTGAAAGAAATCGTGTATTATTTCGGAGCTTTCCTTGGAAAATTTTTCGACCGAACTTTTGAAGGGATGTATGTCAATTTTATCATTGAATCGAGTTTCACCATCAGCTTGCAATTCAAAACTGAATTCTGATACTTTCTTAACTAGACTATGGTAAAAATCACAAAGCTCTTCACAGTCTTCAATCATAAAGTACCTATCTTGCCTGTTACTAAAATAATCATTACTCAAATTTGCTCTGTGAAAATAAGAAATGAAAAATGAAAAATCAATGTCAGCATGTATTAACAAGTGCGTATCTTCTTTTACCATTCTTACCCACTGATAATAAAAGTGTTATCAAATATGTAAAGCTTCATGTGTTGCAACCCCACCAATTCGTTAAACCTATTTGGTATGAGCTTTTTCAAAAAACCTCGCAACCTAGGGGTATGGTAGAGAAAGACGCGACAGCAGTGTCCAAACTCCCCTCTGAGTAGTGGCATCAACATCTCTTTCGAGTTATTTTGCCCTCTCGACCCTCTCATGTAATCTAGGAGTATGTTGACTTGAAGATTTCCACCATTAGATTCTATTGCTTCTTTCATACCTTTCACCTGTAAAATTTAAAAGTTGAATTAATTTCTCTAGGATTATACAATGCAATAAATCCACGAGGAACACACCAACTCTGCCTCCATCTGTCCAGTCCCCAAGTACAACGAGGCGATAGTTATTCTTGATCTTGCGGTTTTACATTTTTCCAACAGAGTAGAGTAAAAGTCTCTTGGCTCGTGAATGATTCTAACCTGAGGATCAAAGAAATCAGCTTTGATTGGAGAACTACAATACAGTTTCGCTGGATGAAAACCTTGGATCCCTTGACAGGAAAGGCGGGCGCAACTTTGTACAGCCAAGTGAGACAATCGCCTTCTAGTTCCAACTCCACGGTACTGCAATCTGCGATTTTTTCGTCTTCCAACACTACGGTTGGCATTTTGAACTGGATAATTCTCAACAAACAGTTATCTTGGGTACTATTATCGACACGTTGTAAACAATAAACATACACCACATCACTAAAATGTTATAACTACAAGGAAGTACATTGTTTACATTTAATTACGCACTTAAAAGGCTGCTGACGAAATATTTCGCATTGATATAGTCACATTGATTGTTTGGAGTCAGAAAATCTAATGCCAAAGAGGGTATTTTTCTGTTTTCCCGTTTCTGACAGCGTGTAAATTAAATTAAAAATATAAAATCGTTTACACTACGATTGATGTAACTCCGAATGATTCGAGATTGCAATTTGTAAGCTCTAAAATTATGACGTCGTCTGCTAGATGGTGATATACTTGTAAGGTCAGGTTAGGCGAGAATATTTACACAAAAAGCCGAAAAGCACACGCTTTGTTGTTGTTGCACATGCTGATGAATAGATCGTCCTCGACAGTTAGATACTTAGTTTTATTTAAAATAAAAAAATATGCCAAGTCCCGAGGCAATGGAAGAAGACGATGATCCTGTTGTTAAGGAGGTAAGATTTTTCTTCAAGTATTGGTGTCTTTTTTTTTTCAATGTCTATTAATAATAGTGGAGGTTAGAGCTTGGATATTTATTGCTGCACCCATAAAGAGATTTAAAAATTGGGTGTAATACTCTAATGTGAAAAGTAATCTTACATAGATAGAATCAATTCGTTATTTAATTGCAAATGGATCGAAAGTTTGTTTTTCACTTGCCAGAATAAATCAATATTGTCGTAGAACTAATAAACTTGAAAAAAAAATGTTTGAAAGTTACCTGTAGACTTGGTTTTTGAAGCAGATTTAAATTTTATTAATTCTTATGTTTGCAGATTCCAGTATTTTTATCCAAAAGGCTAGCTGACAAACTTTTCATATTTCAATATCCGATGAAACCAGCAATAAGTGGTTATGACGATGCAGAATTTTTAAAGACTGCCATTAAGCCAGTGAATCAAGAAGTCATGATTGAAGTTGCAATTGATACGACTGATGGTCACTTTAATCAAAAAAAGGGTGAAGATATAGCTGCCAGTGCTGAGGAACCAGTGAAAAAAGATGGAGAGGAAAAAAAACCATATTTTGAAAAGTACAAACTTGATTTCTTTAAGTGTGTAGCATTCACTTTTCTTTTTTTTTTTACATTAAACTGCATACTCGTTTTCAGTGATGTGATGGACAAAATAGTTTTAAAATCATCAAGAGCCTTACCAAACTGTGATAATTATGGTATTGGAGTTTATCAAGATGGTGAATTCCACATTACTCCACTAAAAGGATTCCTACAATTGCGACCAGATTTTGGTTATCTCGATAAAGCTGACAAACGTGTCAAAGACGATGGAAAAAATACAGGAGATGGTAATAAATTTTATGGATTTGATCATTTTCAATTACATTATTTCACGTGCTAATTATAAAATATTTCCAACAGAGTCTGAAGAAGAGGAAGAGCAAGCAAAGCAAGTGAACGTTTCGTTTGCTAGAAAACTTCCTGATCACATAATAAAAATGAAAGAGCAATCTTTTCAAACTCACGCTAAAAAAGTTTCAGAAGAGCAATGGATATCGTGTGATTACAAGTCAGTTAAAACTACTCAAGCTGAGGTATTTTTTTCATGACCATGTTGAATATGCTTTAATTTTATTGTATGTAGATACTACTCAACGAAAATTTTTCTTTTTTTTCAGCTGACCCGCATGGAAATGATTTGTAATGCTAGCGAAGATGCCGTAAATAACTTGAATCTATCAAAAAGACAATATTTAGATTCTTTAGCTCCTCCTTTGAAGGAAGAACAGTTTTCAAAAGCAAACATCCAAAGCCATACAACGTCTCTTAGCTATATCCGTACTCTTCCTCTGCTAGATCAAGTTAAAATTTTGATGAAAGACGGTTGGTATTCCTTTTTTTTAATGTTTTGTCTAAAATCAATCATATCAACGTTAATTTTTGTTCACAGCCAAAGTCATGTCATTTGTACAGTTAAGGGCGATATTAAGTCTTGAGCACGAAACAGCCAGTATTTTAAAGTACCTACAGCAAGTAGCTGTACTTGTCCAAGGCAACTGGGTCATCAATAGCGAGTTAGTTTATCCTAAGGATACTATTTCAGCTCACAGCGGTGTGCCAGCTGAACTTATGTGCAGAGCGAGAGATTACATAGTACGTACTAATGTACAATTTTTTTGTTTACAAATTCACTTTTGTCTTATATAAAATTTATATTCCTCATTTATTTCCTATTATAAAAATCAATAACTTACAATCATCGGTTTTTCGCAGCTTTTGAGTTTTACGGAACACGAGTTTGTGGACAGAAGAGCAATTTCGTCCGTTGTGAAACTGCCTGCGGAGGAAATAAGAGAAATCTTTACAAACATGGCCAAACACCAACCGAAAAAAGGTTGGCGCTTAATCGTGCTTCCCAGCAAAGACTTCAACGAAAGGTAGATTTTTGTTTGTTTTGTTAATCCAAACTTATACTCTTGTAATGTTTCAATAATTTATCGCTTATCAATAGGTATCCAGAGATCGCCCAACGTCAGGACATGTTTTGGGAAGCAAAGCGGAAGCAGTTGCGGGAGGTGATGGAAGCTCAAAACCAAACTCCCCCGCGTCAGAGGCGGAAGTCCTCTCGAGAGTCCATACCTGAACAGAAATCCATTGAGGTAACCTCGTTAGTTCGTTAGGACCTAAGTAGGTTACCTACCGAGGACCACATTGGCAAAGTAACGCGGCATACGGGAGGTCCTCTTTGGGCATCCTCAATAATCTAGTACCTACCCGATTGAAAATTAGAAATGGGCGACAGCTTGGCCCAAGTCAAGATGTCCAGGTAGCCAAGGTGGGGCCAAGTGTGTCCTTGTAATGGGGCGCAGACTTAGGTCCAAGTTTCTGCCCAACCGCCGCCTTATTTCGTCTGCTTAAAGTGTGTGTATATATATAGTTTTTTTTTTTTATTTTATAGTGTAGGTACTGACCCCATCTGGAGTATGTACACTTCATATAAATATTATTGTACTCAAGATAAACTTTATGCACGCGAGTACACTTGTAAATATTTATCAGGTGAATCTTAATAAGAAACACTTTAACATATTTCAACCAAGTTTTTATTTATTTACTAAACCTTAAGAATAGCTTTGAAAAAAATTGCTTGTGATGCGTAGAACATCTCTGAAGCACATTATTTTTACGTAACATTGAAGAAAAGATTTAGAAAACATCTAATCGTTTTTTTAATGATGCATATTTTAACACTTTATGCAACCTTCTTATGGTAACTATTTAGTACTAGTTTAGTAGAGCCATTAGAATTTTATATTAGTTTTAAAAATCGTGATGTATTTCTGGAAACAACTACTTACGTTAGATAAAAAAAAAAAAAATACCAGAAAAGGAAAGACGCAACTAGCCATAAACTGCGTGTACTATTATACTTAATTCTTTTGTCACTCTTTTGATCCATGGTATAACAATGGAAAATGGTATTCTAAAAGTAATTTAAATATAATTTAAAAAAAAAACGTTACCTGAAAATGGCTGTTATGAATATATATTAACTTTAACGAAAAAAGTTATGATTTTATTATGTATTACTGAGGGAATTTTCACCCTTCAGGAATCGAGATGAATAAAATAGAAAAATTTGGNAAAAAACGTTACCTGAAAATGGCTGTTATGAATATATATTAACTTTAACGAAAAAAGTTATGATTTTATTATGTATTACTGAGGGAATTTTCACCCTTCAGGAATCGAGATGAATAAAATAGAAAAATTTGGAAAAACGTCAATAATAAGGCAGTACGTTGGCTCCTCATAAAATTATAAAAAAAAAAAAAAAAGAAGAATTACAATAGCAGTGTTGTCTATCCATTGTCGATAACCAATTAATAATAGTATGGTAGGTGACCGGTAACCGCTAATAGAACGCTGTAGTATACCTATATGTGGCAAAAGGCACGACATATGTATAAACTCACCAAAAGGAGGCCAAACATCGACGGCCAATCAAGTCACGTTT